CCCCCCCCGGCCGGTGCAAGGGGGAAAGCTGGGGCAGCGAGACGCTGGGGGCAGACGGCAGAAGCCCAGGGAGACTCCCGGCGCAGCCAGGCCGGCTCCAGGCTCAGGGCAGGGACAGAGAAACCCCTTGGCACCTCCCAAGCCGCAAGCCCCAGGCAAAGGCAGACAGAACTGCTTGCACGAGGCAGGCCCAGGGGCAGGGCTGCAGGGACTGGTCTGGCCCTTTATTTCACACAGCTCTGTACAAAGCAGCAGTTACAGGGGTCTGTACATTCGCGATCCAGAGGAATCCGCTTGGAGGGCACTGTCTTTCAGCAGGGGCCGGCCAGGCCTGCGTGGGGCCGGCGTGAAGAGGACGAAGCTGCCGCATCGCCACAGAGCCCGTGTGCAAGCCAAGCGCATCAGCCGTCCGGCTCCGGGGTCCCGAAGGCCCGGGACCCCCTCGGCTCACACCTGGGCTGTAAGGCGGGGGTGGCTAGCTGGATCCCCAATCTGTGCTGGATTCCAGCAGCGGCTCCAGGCTAGCAACGAGGCCTTTTGATCCGTACACGCACGGGCACACGCAGCGCCGCAACAGGGCCCGGCCTCGCTTTCCTACGCCAACCAGCACGGGTGTTACTGGGTGTCTCCCCTCAGGAGGCTGGGTAACAGCCAATTCCCTGGGGGTGCCGGAGCTAGAGCTCCCCTGGCCGATCACTGGGGCACGGACTAACTGAGCTTTCCTGCCAGCTGTGGGGCTGGCGCGGGCGCTAGCGGGGTTATCAGGCGAAGCCCGGTTAAAAGCCGACTGCGCCACCCAGCATGGCTTGGTGCTAGCCCTCCTCCAGCTGCCCCGTGACTCATGAGCAAAGGCCTCAATTACTGATGTAAAAGGGCAAAGATGTTGAGGAGGGGGAGGTGCCGCCTTGCCCCAATGGGAAAGGCCACGGCCCCCTAGTTTTAACGGCACAGGTTGGGCAGGATTCTGAACTAGGAGCATAAACCCGTCAGAGGGGGCTCGTATTCCCAACACACCCCAGTGCCTCCCACCCGCGGCCCCTCCTTGGCACTCCCGGCGAGGGCCCCTCACACACCCTGCAGAAAGGCTCGTCGGGCTCACGCTACAGAAAGGGGCCTCGACTCAGCGCGGCCCCCTAGTTTTAACGGCACAGGTTGGGCAGGATTCTGAACTAGGAGCATAAACCCGTCAGAGGGGGCTCGTATTCCCAACACACCCCAGTGCCTCCCACCCGCGGCCCCTCCTTGGCACTCCCGGCGAGGGCCCCTCACACACCCTGCAGAAAGGCTCGTCGGGCTCACGCTACAGAAAGGGGCCTCGACTCAGCGAAACCAACGGCAAGGCTCCGAGGCTGGAAGCAGGGCCCGGGGTGGAGGCAGGCCAGGAACAAAGCAGGGCCGAGCGCCCTCCTCGTCTGAGGGGCGTGTTATTTTTTAAAGTGCTTCATTTCACAGCTCTGCCCATGCCCCCATTCCCCGCACTGCAACGCAGAGGACGCCACCGGCTGGGCAACCCACTCGCCCGCAGCCAGAAACGTACAGTCCCGTTCACAGGCAGCATGCTGGAAGACGTGCTGGCCAAGGGGAGTGCTAGGTTGAATGGAAACCCAATAACTGGCTGGCCAGAGGGCACCAGAAGACAGGTGCCTGGGACCAAGTACCAGCAACAGAGGGGAAAGTGCAAAATTCCTGCTTGCCTCTTCTCTGTTGGCTGAATCAACACGTGCCACAGACATGAGCGGCGGCAGGTGCCGAGGGCGCTGGCTCTGCTCGGAGCCCTGCTCCAATCCGGTGGCGCACCGCTTGTCTCCGGTCTGGCTGGCCAGAGGGCACCAGAAGACAGGTGCCTGGGACCAAGTACCAGCAACAGAGGGGAAAGTGCAAAATTCCTGCTTGCCTCTTCTCTGTTGGCTGAATCAACACGTGCCACAGACATGAGCGGCGGCAGGTGCCGAGGGCGCTGGCTCTGCTCGGAGCCCTGCTCCAATCCGGTGGCGCACCGCTTGTCTCCGGTGCACGGCGCTGTGCTCTCTAGGCCGTCCCTGCTTTCTGGATGACACGGGGCCATGCGGAGCAAGGGCACAGAGCAACCGCCCCTACA